TGAATGACTCATTGTCCCACATTGCTTGGGAAAGGAGTGGGAGTAGAGTGTATTTGTAGTTTTGCTCCCTCTATGGGTAAGGACCCTTAGGAGGAGAGGACTATAAATATCCATGCATGGGAGGTGGGGTTGGGGGTGCTTTTCACACGCGCGCACCTGGTCGGGTCGGGGTGGGGGTGTGTGTGTGTGTGTCTCTTCAAATTCAAATTTAATTTGAAATAAATTGTTTTCCTTTTTTTTCGTGTCTCTTCTTCCTCCTTGTGCCTCTTCGAACAGGTGCACTATTCTGAAGAGGCTCCTGTCTAAAAGGACACACCTGTGTCAATTCGGGTCTGAAAGCACTCTATAAAAGGAGTGTTGGTCGACCCAGTCAAGAGGACACACCATTTTTGACTTTCTTTTCTCTAAGAAATATGAGCATTAACCTTCAGTTGTTCGCAGAGGTTTGGTAAGCGAGTGCACGCCTACCAGTGGCCTGTGGGTTGTTTTATCTTGGCGACCGGTTTGCGATCACCCGGCTGCATCGTAGGGGGCAAATACAGTTTTAAGGAGAGTGACCAAGTGGCACAACTCAACCCTCCATCTTCATGCAATTTCCAATTTCGAGTTCCTGCAACAACTTCAAATCACTGCAACTTTGTCAAAGGAAAGCGATTACCGATAAGTTCCATTTGCTCTCTCTTTACTATTTTTCAACATTCTTAAAAGCATATTTATGGAACCTATCTCTGCTAACCCCTTTCATGAGGACCGGATACTGTCAACGGTTCCTGATTTCTCTAAAATTGAACCCTTCAAAGGAGCCAACTAGAAGCATTGGAGACAACACCTGTGTTTGCCTTAGAACAGTTAAGGGAAGCTTTCGCTTTGACTGAACCAAACCCACTAAACATGGAGGAACCAACCCGTTTTGTTGTTGCAGAATATTGGACTACAACCGACCACCTATGCACCAACCATATCCTAAATTGCTTGTCCAATGAACTATACAATGTTTATTCTTCCTACAATTATGCCTATGAAATCTAGAATGCTTTGGACACTAAGTATGCTCTAGAAAATGCTGAGAACAAGAAATATGTAATTGCCAACTTCCTGCACTTCACAATGAAAGAAGACATGGATGTGTCTGCTCAAGTAGAGGAGTTCTAGGTTCTTGTGGGGGAATTGACAAAAGAAGGCATGGTGCTGCCAGATGAATTCATTACCGGTTCTCTTATAGAGAAACTGCCATATACAGGGAATGATTTCAAGACCAATATGAAACACAACAGGAAGGACACTGCTTCGGACCAAGTAGTGGTCTGAATTAAGATTGAAGAAAAGAACAAAAAGAAAGATGAGGACTAGTTTTCCATAACCAATCTGGTGGAGGAAAAGACTACAAAATTCAAACAGAACTAGAATGTGAAAATTGATCAGAATTTCAAGAAACAACAAAAGAAAGGGAGCTGTTATGTATGTGGCAAACCCAGACATTACAAGAAGGACTGTCGGTACCGGAAGAAGGACTTTGGAAAATCGAAAGTCAATTTGACTGAGGATATTATCGCAGCAGCGATAACTGAGGTAAACTTAGTTGAGAAGCCGAAAGAGTGGGTACTGGTCGCTGGTGCTACCAAGCATATCTGTGGAGACCACAATTCCTTCTATGAGTATACAATTCTATCTGAAGGAGAGCAAGTTTTCATGGGAAACTCACAAACTTCGAAAGTCACCGACAAAGGAAAGGTGCTATTGAAACTGACTTCAAGAAAAATCCTGATGCTGAATGATGTACTGCATGTGCCAGAGATCTGACGGAACTTGGTATCGGGAGCACTCCTCAACAAAATAGGACTAAAACTCACATTTGAAGCAAACAAGGCCGTATTGACAAAAAATAATGTATTTATTGGAAAATGGTACAATGCTGGTGGATTATTTGTACTGAACATCTCTAATATTATTATGAATAAAACTATTTCTTCTTCTGCTTATATTGTTGAATCTTTTGATATTTGGCATGCTAGACTAGGACATCGTAGTGCTGCTTATTTAAAACGCTTATGTAAATTAGGAGTTTTGAATGTTTCTATTAATTTATAAATGAAAAATGCCAAGTGTGTGTAGAAGCAAAATTTACTAAGAAACTTCATAAAAGTGTACAAAGAGAAATTGAATTGTTACAACTTATACATAGTGATCTAGGTGACCTTAAATGTCATGAAGCTAGAGGAGGAAAAAGATACTATATAACATTTATAGATGATTTCTCTAGATATGCAAAAGTAGTTCTACTTAGGTCAAAAGATGAGGCTGATCAAGCTTTTATAAACTACAAAACTGAAGTAGAAAATCAATTAGAAAAGAAAATAAAAAGACTTAGAACAGATAGAGGAACTGAGTATGATGGACAAGCCATTAGAAAATTCTTTGAAGAAAATGGAATCGTACATGAACCCACAACTCCCTATCAACCTGAATTTAATGGAGTTGCAAAAAGACTTAACAAAACATTAAAGGAAATGATGAATGCAATGCTAATTAGTTCAGGTGCACATCTGAATTTGTTGGGGAAAGCAATCCTAATGGTTTGTCACTTATATAATAGAATACCACCTAAGAAGAAAGGACAGATTCCCTCTGAACCTTGGCATAGCAGAAAACCTAGTTTGAACTATTTAAGGGTTTGGGGCTGCCTAGCAAAGGTTGGAATACCTGAACCTAAAAGAAAGAAATTAGGATAAAAAACCTGTGACTATGTATTCATAGGTTATGCACAAAACAGTGCGACTTATCGATTCCTTGTAATTAAAACAATTGAAAATATTGTCGAAAATAACACAATAATAGAGTCCTGAGATGCAAAGTTCTTTGAGCATATCTTCCCTTGGAGGAAAGAAACATTAAATAGGGAACCTTCCCAAAATCAAATTAGAAACCAAGAATTAGTGAATGCTTAAGAAACTAGTACTACACTTAGGCAAGACCCAAACTTAAGGAGAAGTAAAAGACAAAGAAGAGAAACAAACTTGGGTGATGGAATGTTCACATTTCTGGTGGACAAGGACCCAATAACCTATTAGGAAGCTATAATTTCACCTGATGCAAAATTTTGGAAAGAAGCCATAAAAAGTGAAATAGACTCCTTAGTCACTAATCACACTTGAGAACTTGTAGATCTCCCATTTGGAACTAAGACACTAGATTGTAAGTGGATTTTTAAGAAAAATAAATAAAATTAGATGGCACAATAGATTAATTGAAGGCCAAGTTAGTTGCTAAGGGGTTAAGACAAAAGAAAGGTATAGACTTCTTTGACACATACTCCCTGGTTGCAAGATTAACAACAATTAGGGTTTTGTTTGTTATAGCATCCATTTACAAACTGATAGTTCATCAAATGGATGTGAAACAACTTTCTTAAATGGGGAATTAGAAGAAGAAATTTACATTAGGTAACTTAAAGGCTTCATAATGCTAGGACAAGAAAATAAAGTATGTAAACTAATTAAGTCTCTGTATGGCTTAAAACAAGCTCCCAAACAATGGCATGAAAAAATTGATAATGTGTTAGTAACTAATGGGTATAGCAGAAATGATTCTGACAGATGTGTCTATAACAAATTTGAAAATAATGAAGGAGTCATGATCTGTCTATATGTTGATGATATGCTAATAATGGGAACTAGTCTAGAGATAGTAAAAGAAGAAAAACACTTTTTAATGTCCAAATTTAATACCAAAGACTTGGGTGAGGCTGATGTAATCTTGGGGATTAAAATCCATAAAGAACAAGGAAATTTTATTCTCTCCCAATTACATTATATAGAAAGTATTCTTAGAAAATTTGGACACTATGACTGTAAACCGGTTAAAACACCTCTTGACTATATTATTCACTTAAAGAAACATGTAGGAGAACCTATTTCACAAGGAATAGAGGTTTAGAATGGAAATCGGAATGGATCATTCTAATTCCAATTGTTTGGTTGAACAGAATTGGATTCTCATTCCTATTAATGGTAGAATGGCATTTCTCCTTTTGTCTGTCTCCTTGAAATCTCATTCCAATTCCTATTTGAATCAACGATATGGGAATAAATCATTCCAATTTCAATTTGGGAGGATTTCGGTTGTTTTAATTCCTACTGAAAGCCAAACAGAGTCTTAATCTTGTAAGCATAGTAAATGGAGAAAATCCTTGTGGCGTGGAGAAAGCAAGAGGAGAAGGTGGTTTGTGGTGAGACATGATATGCTACTCACACCTAGTGCCTCATAGGTGCCTCACACGCACATCCGACCATGCATTGGGAACATCTTCTGTATTTATCAATTATTATTCACAGGATATGTTCTCAATGCACGGTGGATGTGCATGAGGTGCCCATTTGTGAGGAGCCGATCCTGTCTCCCATACTTTTTATTCACGAGAGATGCTCCCAATGCTATGCCTGTAAAGCGCCCATTTGTGAGGAGCAAATCCTGCTTCGTCTATGGTGGGGTTGAGGTGTGACAAGTACAATCAGTTTCTGGTGACGGGATCTGCTCCTCACAAATGGGCGCCTCACATGCACATCCACCGTACATTGAAAACATCTCCCATGAATAATAACAAATAAGTAGGGAAGATGTTCCAAATACATAATAGGATTTACCTGTAAGGCGCTGTATGGGAGGAGCAGATAGGGTCTCTAGTTTCCGGTGGTGGCTTTCGAGTTACGAGGGACGAAATGTTATTTGTCCCGTATCACGTGTCAAAACGGGTCAAATGCTGAAATGAACCTCGGAGCGAGTGTGTGCGGTGTGCCCCTGTCTCAGTCTGGTAGTGCGTACCAGCTTTGCGAAGAAATCCAAATCCCCAATCCCCATGTATAACGAACACAAGAGACGACGCGCACTGTTGCTGTTGTTGGCTGTAAAACTCAAAACCGGTGACTGGTCCCCATTTCCCTAACCCGATTCTTTTCCTAACACCAACAGCTAACCAAAGCTTATGTTGCCTTATTGGTGAGGAAAGGAATGCCTTTTGAGTTTTGTCTATCTGGTTTTCTCTCACCCCTCCCACTAGTCCACTACTTCAGAAGCACTGCCAGTGCCAGACCCAGAGGGTTCTGGTTTTCACCCTCCATTAATCCTGATTATTTTTCATTTAGCTTTTGTCTACTCAGCAGTCAGCACCATGTAATTATTACTTCCACCTCCAATATAAAGAGGAAAAATGTAATTTAATACAAAGGATTTCAATCTCAGACCCGACACCTAAAAGAGGAATACAGCATCTACGTGGGCTGCCTGCCTTTCCTTTTCGGCTTTTCCTCTCCCTATTCTCTGCCTCTGCTATCAAGCACGAACATTTAAAGTTTAAACAATCATGAGTATATATAAAATGAATCCTTGAGGTCAGGCCGCTCGGCTCAGCAACGGAATGTCTGCCATCAGTAACGGTGTTGGGTCCTCGGCGGAGGTGACGGTGAAGAGAACCCTCAGCGGGGTGTACGATGAGGCCGGGATTCGATTCAGTATTGATCTGGTGGCCGCAGCCAGAAGACACCTTTTCTTCTTGAGAGCTGTCTCCGAATCTCCCTGGTTTCATGACCCCTCCACTGTTTCCCAAGCCATCCGAAGGTAGGTCCGTCATCTTAGCTTCTCACCCAGTCCATCTCTCTTCTGTCCCTCTCCAATTTTTAGAATTTATATCTTGGTTGATAAGAATCTCAATCATCATTCGTTAATAGCCAGGTGATAATCTTTTTACAGGTATGATGATCTCTGGATGCCCTTCATTTCTGATCTGACAGTGGGGTCAACGCCGCCTGTTCTTGTGCCTCCTCTCGACATTCAATGGGTCTGGCACTGTCACTCTCTAAATCCGGTAAGCAATCAAGTTTGACGTAGATCTCTAACAGAAACGAGTTTCTCTTCTGTAGTCCTCCTTAAATAAATTAATCTCTTCTTCCCCCAACCCCACCATTTCTTCAGCCGCATTACAGGAAGTACTGCGAATCGAGGTTCGGCAAGTTAATTGGGAAACCGGCAATCTTCGATGACGAGAATGAAGAGTATGCCCTAAACAGATGCAGGGATATCTGGAACCAGAGATACCCATCGGAGCCTTTCCAGCTCCAAGCCGATACAGATTCCTCTCCGTTCACCTCGATTACCAACGAAGACATCTTGAATGAGGTCACGAAGCACAAATCTCTGTATTTTAAGTTTTCCCAGCCTTACATGTCGGAAATCCTCCATCTAATAGCGGCCAGGCAGAGATACATAGGACTTCTATATGTTCTGCGTAGGTTCAGAGATGAGTATTCCCGTTTGGTACCCACTGCAGATATTCTACTTATCTGGTTAACCCATCAGGTACATTCTGCAAGCATTAATTTTCCCTTATTTGGTTCCTTTTATTTATAACAATACTGATTATAGCTTTTGATTTTCTTTTGATAACCAATACAACTGATGCTTGTTTCTGGTGATTTTGCCTTTCGAAGCAGAGCTATCCTGCGAAATACGCAGGGGACGTGAAGGAGATCGAAGGGGATTTGGGGAAGGTGGTGGGGGTTTGGGAGGCAGTGAAGGAAGAAGACAGAGAAACGACTAAGAAGCTGTGGGAGAGAGCCTTTGATCAACCATACGAGAAAGCAGGGGCAACCATGGATATTCATGGGATTCATTCCGTGAAGTCGCCGCCGATGAATTGGGATACCTCAGACTCCGATGCCAATCGAAGTGACAGATCCATGGAAACCAGGTTCTTACTCGAGGTCAGTCCCACTGTCCCAATACTGAATACCGACCGACTCCCTCAGGCAGTCTAGTTTTTTATTCAGCATTGTTCAGAATCTTAATCGAAAGCGCAGTGAAGTGGGCCTACTCGATGATTGTTTAGTATATAAATATAATGTTTAAATTAGAAAATTTTGTCAAACAACGTCGCTTTGGCCGAGTGGTTAAGGCGTGTGCCTGCTAAGTACATGGGGTTTCCCCGCGAGAGTTCGAATCTCTCAGGCGACGGATCCTTTTACCAAACTCCGACGAAGGAAGGCATCTCATGTTTGTACTTTGTCGTCATGTTTTCTTCTCGTAAACGTGAACAACTGTCAGTGTTTTGAATTTTATTTTATTTTTTCGTAACAGGTATGCGTGTTTCTGAGGTCCATACCGGAGAAAAATGAAACGGCGGAGAAGAAGCATGAGTTTCTGCGCCTCAGGATCATCAGATGTCACAGAGAGATGAAGATCGACAAACCCATCTCTGACATACCGGGTAATTCATGGGGAAAAACATGGAAACTCTACTGCGAGTTCGGGACGAGAGGGTTGGTGCTCGAACACCGTCGACGCGGTGGTGGCTGTTTCAGAAGCAGCAAATTGGTCGGCAGAACAGCTTTCCTGTGGAACGATTTGATTCGAGCACCGTCTCTTGTCCTGGAAAAACATGAGGAGCAGCATGTGAAGGCGGTAGTCTCCATCACCCCGCCTGTCCAAGCACCATATCTGTTGAAATGCGTACCGGATCGGGTCACTGACGATTCAGGGGCCATGATATCGGATGTCATACTCAGAATGAATCGTTACCGGCCTCAAGAAGGAAGGTGGTTGTCTCGCACCGTGCTCGACCATGCAGGGAGGGAGTGCTTCGTTGTACGTATCAGGTAAATTTCTACCTCTCCTCATTATTTATATTCTTCTTACTTTTTCTTTTAGAATTACTTAACAAGTAACAATCCGAAACGAAATAATAATGCCTATCATTTAATCCGGTTATCCGATATACATGGTGTTTCGGGTGTTACATTACGTTAATTATTGATGTGGGTTAATGGGATGGGCTGATATTAATAGTTCTGTTTGTGCGTGTAGAGTGGGTGGAGGGATTTGGAGAAGAGGGGGAGAAGCTCCGGCTGCGGTAAGATGGGAAGACAGGATCGTAGAGATACGTGAAGGTTCCTGGACTTATGTCGCCGGTTCCATTGGTGCTGCTCCCCGTACGTACTTCATTTTGTTCGAATATTCAATTTATGGGTCTTTATTTATGGGGTGTTCTGTAGTGTGGATAAGAACTTGGTGGGTGTGGACCGGGTCCACACCATACGCTATCTACACCACAGTCCAAAACTATTCTCAAATGTGGATAGATTGTGTGGACATGATCAATCCACACTTATAATGGCATTTGTCCACACCACATTTTTTGATTCATGTATCTTATATAAATTTTATGAATGATCTATACAGTCGATCATAAATGTCTAATTTTTGCATTTTATATGATAAGTAAATTGAAAAAAGACATCAATAAATTAATATTAACCAATAAACATTAATTTTAATAAAAAAAAGTAAACTAATTAAAAAATATTATTTTATTGATAAAAACATTAAAAATTAATATTTAAATAAATGAAAAAAGAGTGGCAAAGGAGAATTGTCGGACTTGTGCTAGAATTAACATTAAAAAATATTATTTTATTCATAAAATCTTAAAATCTTAAAAAATTAAAAATTAAAATTTATTATTTCAAAATTTAAAATTTTAAAGTATGTAATAGAGATATATGTGTGGGCGACCACATCCACGAGATATATATGTGGCCGTGATTTTGGGCCGTGGATAGGGACGATCCACAATATATTGTAGATCGTCCCCGTCCACAATGAACCAAACACCATCGCCATCCTGTGGTGTGGACCAAAATGGGCCATCCACGAGATGACAATAGAACTGAATACCACCTTAATAGGAAAATCTTTGATCCAATGTTTTTGAACCGTCGTTGATTCGGACGGTCGGACCGTTCAGCTTGGAAATCGTCCAAGCAACCGGTTTCGTTTCACCCCTAACCTATTCTTGGATAAAAATCCGTTGACTTCGTCAAAAACCGTAGACCTGGGTGGTGGAACCATCGACTCGTTTGACTTGGACAATGGTTCACAGTTTAAAAAAGTTGCAAGAGGAGAGAAAAAGAAGAAGAAGAAGACTACAGTACACGCATTGTAGAGTGAGAAATCGATCTCAGATTTGAGATCCAAGAACTCAGATCTCTGTTTGTTGTCGCCGCCTCGCCATCGCCATTATCGTCACCGGTGAGTGTTGAATCATCCTCCTCCTCATCTTCCTTCTTCGCCCTCATTCCCTCATTTTTCTTCCTTCCTTCCCTCAATCATTTCCTTTCTCTTCTTTTCTTTTTTTCCTTTCTCCTTTCTTTCTTTTTTTCTTTCTTTTTTCTTTGTCAGCCGACAAGTCTCTTCTCCATTTTCCTTTCTCATATAAACATATAAATATTTGCCCTAATGTAAAGTTGCAAACCGTCTGAGCCGTTCAACTTGAATGGTCGAATCACTAACCCGGAAACCGGTGGCTAGAACGGTTCCTTTTCTGGGTTGGTTTTTAAAACCTTGCTTTAACCTAAACTAGTTTGCTTACTGCAATTCCAATGGTTCAATTGAGAGAGAGAGAGAGAGCTGCATAGCAATAGCATACTATAAGTGAACTACATCATTAAGGGAAGCGGCTAGCATTACTCTTTTCTATCTTTAGCCATGTAAACTTCTGGTATTTTCTTTCTATCTTACTTTTATGGATATCTAGAAGCAGAGAAAAGAGAAAAGAGGGATCCCTAGTATTCTATAAAATTAATATTTACCATTAATAAGCAAAGCATCCTTCCTTTCTTCTGTCCTCAGCCGGCTAATTTTTTGGCATTATTCTAAAGCCTTTTGCCCTAGGAAATTTAGAACTAGATATGCATAGAATACTATATATAGTGTAAAAAATTAAATCAAAGATGATAACTCTACAATAAAGAGGCAACAAATAAACCTATTACCTATGTTTCTCTTATTTGATCATTGCTGCTAATAAAACTGTAATATCTGTATGGGTATCAATTATATTGTTTCCCAAATAAACCAATTTTTCGCCAAGAAAACTATATACCATTAATCTTGAATTATCCCAACCCAGTTTAGGTCCAGGATGACTCTTTGAAACGCTAAACCATCTGCAAGTTGTTCGAGTTTGTAAGAGAAAACAACTTATTCAAAGACTTCACCTAATAGGTGAAGCTTTTAGGTTGAACTGTGCTATAATTAATTAAATTTCAGCACAAGGTATGGGTGAATCTGTGCTTGTCCACGTTTTAAGCCGTATGGGCTTTTGCGTAAGGGGATGTATTAGAGAAAAAAACCTATTCAAAGCCTCACTTAGTAATAGCTTAAGCTTTAAGGTTGAACGGTTCTTTAAGAAAGTTTCGGAACATAAACTCTATTTTTGTAGTCACTTGGAAACTATGGCTTGAATTGAGTTTTCAGTTGTCGATGAGCAAGGCCTATTAAAATAGTTTTGGAGCCACATTAGAAAATCTTAAATGATCAATAAGGAAATCATAGTTTCAAAATTCTAAATCAAAGGTATGGTCTGACTGTTTATTTTATTTATTTACTTGTTTCATGGGCTACACAACAGGGTGTTGTAATGCATCCTCCATACTAATAATCCCCCGGACCCAACCTTGGTGACAGCGGTACTTGATCCCAACCAGCCAGAGAACTTGTTAGCTGAGCCACCATCAGTTGGTGACTGTATATATAATTGACCACATATTATGTATGATCAAATGATCCCAAGTTTTCATAGGAGCTTTCAAAAAGTTGTACATTCATCTTTTTGCTAAAGCTTCCAATGTTATATTTTACTACCATCTAAATTAATGTCATGTTTGAGTTTATAGGAGGCTCAAATTAGTCATGTTTGAACTTTGAAGTCAAAAGTAAATTATAATAATTATAGTTTGATTTCTTTCGCCCCTTTTTCACCTTTTTCTTTTGGTCCTATAGAGAAGGTGGTCGGAACAGCAACGCCGAAATCAGAATCAAGAGGGAAGAAAGCATCTTGGCATCTTTCAACCGGTGACGAGTTGACAATAGAGTGGGAAACTTCATCATCATCTTCATCATTAGGCCTGACTTTCCACCTTGAGAACCAAACATCCCTTGAGTCTTCCACAAAGGTAAACCATTAATTATTTTGCTTTTCTCCGTCTTCAGTTCTAACTCTGAACTGCTCTATTGAATATAGATAGAAACAAACATGAACTAAATTAGAGACGAAATTGCAGGTTAGGTTGCTTAAAGGTAGAAAAATGCAATACCAGGTATCACACAGAGTTGATTTAGATACCAATAAAGAGAGTGATTACAAGGAAAACAATGAAGAAGATGGGTTTGTAACACTAGTTCGATTCACGCAAGAAAATCCCAATGGAAGGGCAACGGCATTGTTGAATTGGAAATTTCTGGTGGTAGAGTTGTTGCCAGAAGAAGATGCTGTACTGGTGTTGCTTTTATGCATGACGATACTCAGAAGCGTGTCCGAAATATCCAAGGAAGACATTGGCAACTTATTGGTAAGGAGGCGACTAAAGGAAGCTAAGCCTGGATCTAGAGATTGGGGTTCTGTAATTTTGCACCCAACAGTTTCTTCGACATCATCATCCTTTGTTTCGCCTCATCTCCAGCCTTGGTATTGGAATGTAAAGGCATTCATGGCGTCAGACGATGTCAACCAACCAACACAGCAAACCAATTATTCTGCCGCTGAAGGTGGTGATAAGCTTTACAAACGAAGTATTTTAGCCTAGAAAGGGAAACAAATCATGTTTTACAAAGAGAATAGCATCATGAAATTTGACCGAGTACTAAAGGAATACGGTATTTTCTTTTTTTTTTTTGAAATACTTGATATTTCTCTGTTTTTTTTTTTTCTTTTTTGTAAAGGATGTTTCTCTATACAATTTAAAGCAGAAGTGACCAGTGCAATGTACAGATTGGTGTCTAAATGCCCCTTCTGATTAGATCCACTTTTAACTCAAAAGAGAAAGGAAACTGAAATTGATTTTTCTTTTTTTTTTGGGTAATTGGACGTTGATGTTGTTCTAGCCTTCTAGGCAGTTTAAGGAGCTGCGCCTGCACTGGGCTTAACACCAATGATAAGATATATGACTTGGGCTCAAGTCCGGTCCAGTCCTAGCCTTGGGCCTGAAATATAACATTGGGCTATTATGCAGGTCCAGACCAAACTGGAAATGATCACACCTAATCCAAATCAAATCTGACTTTTTATCCCGTAAATGCATCTATATGTGTTAGATTTACACACAAGTCATTCACTTTTAAGTTTACTCAATGGGCTTAACTAAAATCTTACCAAGTATATATGTTTTCAACCTTTAGTTAACCTAATAGTCATGGATGAATGAAATGTCACTCAGCCAAGTTTCCTCATTCATTTGGTACATGAGTTGTCTACTTTGAAAAATTATTGACTCATTGAACAACCTAGGAATCTACCCAATTGAACTGTTTGACCCGGTCAATGGGTCTGAGGTTAGATATTAAATCCTCTCTCTCTCTTATTTCAGCCAGGCAACCATGCTCATTTAGGAGAATCTGCAAAATTATTCTGATTTTTAGATGAAATAAATTGAATAGAGCACTGAATTAAGACTAAATTAAATATAAGGATAATTAGTAGACATTTCAACAAATGGAATGACGGAACAAGATTCAGGTAGCCGATCCCATATAGTTTTCGGGACAAGGCTTAGATATTGATGATGATTAATAGAGATCTCAATTAATGACAGTCGGTTTGCTTTAGTCTTATATAACTAATGACAATCATTTGTTTGTTACCTTATAAAAAAACAATAGTGTTGTATAAATTCTCCTAAATGAATAATTTGTTCGAGTTAAACTAAATCCATACTTATATGGGCAGATGTTCCAAATGCACGGCTGTAAGTATTGTAAGGATGGTGTCAGGACAAATTTTGTGAGGACTGAATCTGGATAGGCTGTGACAATTTGACGACGTATACACACAAATAGTCATATATGCCTCAACGTAATTTTCTAGGGAGGAGCATTCTGATGCCCAAGCCAATAAAAGAGATGAGGTGGGCAGCTGGGCCAAGTTGGAATTAGCCATACATACAAATTGAAGAGCTTAGAGAACATAATGAGCTTACAGGAGTTTAGGAAGAAGAGAGCGAAGAAGAGATGTCAAATGAGGCAGTGTGTCTTTATATAGGTGCTGTAGGAGCGTCCTTATGCTCTTCGTTCATGGGATACATGTCAACTTCTAAGGTAGTCACCACTCGAGCTATTAGAAATGTGCGCAATAAGGTCTGCTAAGAGCAGGTGAGGAGTTTAGGGAGATTGGCTTGTGCTTAAGGGTGTCAATGGACTGGTTTTGGATTGGACCCCGTCCAGTCCAAAATCAATTTGGACGAATTGGATGGACCAACAAGACATATTGAATTGACCCAATTCAGTCCAAAATATTTATTAAATTGGATTGGACCCGGTCCATCCATAATAAATTTATATTAGATTGGATTGGATTAAGCCAATATCTGGTCCATTGATATAAGATAAGAATATAGATGTCAATGAACCGGGTTTGGATTAAAACCAATCTAAATCAAAACATATTCAAACAGATTGGATAGTCCAGGCATTCAATTGGACCGGTCCAAAATATTCTTTGGACTGGTTTGGACCTGGTTCATTTATAATAGACTCACATTAGACTGCATCGGATTAGACCAAATCCAGTCCAATTGACACCCCTACTTATGATTGTCTAGTGTTCTTCACATGTCTCCATTTCATCCAAGACATAGAGTGTGCACACTAGTTTGTGGTATCAAGTGCACCGCATCATTGCTCCAATTTGGGCCTGACTTACAACCACATCACCATTAAATTTAGAACAGAATCAATCCGGCCCCGACTTACAACTAACATACCAGACCATCTGTTCTGAAAACAATTGGTTAGAAAGACAGAAAATAAGGACTTTTGATTATATTTGTGTTTCTTGTTTTCAAAACTGAAATCAAAAACATATTTTTGGATTTTTTACTTTAAAGAATGTATTTTTAATATCATATTCTATTATTTCATATAATTTTGTATTTATAAAATTTGTTTTATTTTAAACACATGAATTGTTATTTGAAATAAAATCAAGAACAAAAACAAAAGTATGGGCCGAGAGTATGATTATTTAACATGAATTCTGATTTAAAGAATGTGTTTTTATATGGTTATTTAACATGGATTGTTTTTGTTTTAAAAACATGATTTGAAATAAAATCGAAGAATTTTATTTGGACTTATATTGATCTCTCACGCTTTGGGCTGAGTATGGATTTATCTTTTACGAGCATGACCTAAACCATCAAGTTAAAGAGAAGCATCAAACTATCGAGTTTGGATCTACTCCTCACAGAGCGTACCACACACCATCCTCATAACATTGTAGTTGTGCATTGGGATTAGAGATGGCAATTTTACCCGTCCCTGTGGGCCCTGCCCTGCGGGTTTTCCGGACTACTGGTTGGGGTTCAGGAAAAATCCAAAATTCTGGGGTCAGGGATGGGGCAGGGACAATATATATACATCACCTTGCTTCTCCTTGCTCCATTATCCCAAGTCCCAACCCAGCATTCTCCTTGGCTCTCTCTCCTCTCCCCCTTCCCACCACTCCCAATTTGACATCTCAACACCCTCTCTCTCTTCATTCGGCTCCCTTCCCATTGGGTTCTCTCTCTCCCCCCACAATTTATGTCTCTCACTTTTTATAACAACCTAACTTCTCTCCTTAACTAGTTCAATATATGTTTTATCCTCCACTTCTATCTCCAATTCCCCTCTATTCTCTCCACTTACCCATAAAAATAGGGCCATAATTTATTAAGATTTGATTTTCCAAATCAAACAATATTTATATCTATAGAAGTGATTTCAAGCAAAGATAGGGGAATAAAGGGAATTCGATGTTTCTTATATATTCATGGCATCTTCCATTATTGTTAAATAATCTATTCTTAAATTATAATATATTTTTAAATAATCTATTATTTATGGAATTTATTAAAAATTTCTCAAAAATATTCTACCAAAAATTATCAAATAATCATTTTAGAAATAATCCATTATTTAAAAATATTAAATAATTTAATAATCTACCAAAAATTAATAAAAAATCCATTATTTAATAATTTTTGGTTATTAATAAATATTCAAATTTTCAATGTTTATCATAATTTACACTTATCATTGTAATTTAATAAAATTTCATTAAGTTTTTACAATAATAATATATTGATAAAAGATATTACTAATTAGCATAATTTACTAATTTCTATAAAATCAATAAGTATAGATAACAATTATCAAATCATTTAGAGGAAATCTTTAACTAATAATCCATAATTATTTTTAATAAGTAATTAATAAATTAATCTATGAAAAAAATATTCTCCAAAACTATTTAAATAATAATCCATTATCATTCAACTAAATAATTATTAAAAATTTTATGAAAATTAAGTTAGGAAATTAATCTATCAGAAATTGTTTAATAATTATTTAAATAACAATCCCCATTATTATTAATTCAATAAATAATTATTAAATAATTTAGAAAAATTATTAAGTCTATCCACATTGATCTAGACCACTTGGTTGACTTCAATCTTACTTGGTTTTACATTAATTAACAACAAAAGGTTTACTTTTAATTAAAAATAATGTAATTTACCATAATTACATCAATTTACTATAATTACATTTACTTTGATTAATATTAAGGCCATGTTTGGGAGTGTTTATGTAAAAAATAAGTGCTTATTCAAATAAGAACTTATTTGCATTGGGTTCAACTATGATATGGAAAAGATATGATATCTGAAAAACTTCTGACCAGTCAATTGGAATCATAAAAGTGGTAGCCAATCAGGTGTTATTTATCAAAATTCATGGGTGGGTTTTGATTGGTCAAAACTCTTCCCATACCATATCTTTCCCACATCATAGATTTTCCCATTTGTATTTAGCACCCAACTTTTTCAAGTGCTTATTTTAAAAAGTTAGCACTTATTTATATTGAGCGTTTTGCGGTCTTTTTCTCCAATAAGCACTTGTGACTCTTTTGTCCTTCATTTTCTTTCAAATTTTCAAAATATCCATTCTAAAGTGAATAATACACATACTTTGATATAAGTGCTTTATAAAAATAGTTTCATAAAAGTACTTTGATAAAATACTTCAATAAAAGTGCTTTTATAAAAAATATTTTAATAAAAGTACTTCTGTAAAAGTGCTTTTATAAAAGTACTTTCACAAAAGTGTTTTTATAAAAGTGCTTTCGTAGAAGTGTTTTTATAAAAGTGCTTTCGTAGAAGTGTTTTCATAAAAATGCTTTTGTAAGTGTTTTCATAAAAGTGCTTTTATAAAAGTATTTTCATAAAAGTGCTTTTTCAAAAGTAACAATATTGTTGCTAGAAGTAGCAATATTGTTACTAGAAGTAACAACATTGAAAGGGTATAATTGACATTCTATAAATGCACCGGGGACAATTATGAGAGAAAAAATTGAAATAGTCATTGTTGTATGAGCACTTAAAAAAAGCTGGAAATTTGGGCTTAAAAAATAAGGCCTTATAAACCCTTATTTCGGGCTTACTTCCCAAACACTAATAAGTGCTTAATGGCATGGTCCCCACTTAAATAAGCACTTATCTCGAATAAGCACTCCCAAACATGGCCTAAATCATTTAGGCTTAAAAAGTAAATAATTTACATTAATTTATTGTTTACTATAAATAATTAATTACTACTAATCAATTGCAATTCCAATAAATTTTTGGAAATTATGATAAGATATTGTAATTTAATTTACAACTAGTTAATTAGTTATAAAAAATTACTAAAATTGTAGGATGGCATTTTTTCTTGTAAAACTAGGGTCCTACCCTATGCCACCCTAAACGGGGCAAATTTTCTCAAATCTTAAATAGGGATGAGATAGAGTCAGGGTGGGGACAGGGAAAATATTTTTGCCCCAAATTAGGGATGGGGTTTGCATATAATTCCCTGAACCTTATGGTAAATTAGTTAAATTTCTGTAGATTTTATATTGATTTTTAAAATATCTTTAAGTTTTCCTCGTATTCTTATAATCCTAGGATCCCATAATTTCATTTATAAAATAATCTCCAATTGTCATAATCTAATTCCTAAAATACCCCCAAATTTTCATAATCCTACTTATAAAATATCCATAAATTAATTTTTTTAGGTAATTGCCTTAGGGTGGAGAAAATTTGGGGATTTTCCACCCCCAATGGGGAATGGGTGCTTTGTCTTGAACCCGCTCCGCCATTGGGGTCGAGACGGTGATGGAGTAGAGTATCTTGACTTATGGGGGTGAGAGACAAAAGGATGCCTCATCCCGTATGGGCCTCCACTAGTAAATTAATAAATATACAAGAAAGAAAGACGGGTGGGATAAAGTTGGAAATCCCCATTCCCACAAGACGAGGATGGGTTAGGATTTTTAGCTCCATCGGAGTTCGAGGCAGGTACCGAGCATAATATTTGAATTCAGATTCTCTTACAAGGCAGGCAAAACCTGCCTCCGCCGCATTTACCATTCCTAATGAACGTATTGGCATGGATGATAACATTCATATACAGGAGATATAGGAGATGTTCTCAATGCACGCGTGAGATGTGCAATAAGGTTGGTCTAAGGCATGTTCTGCGACAGCAAATCCCATCTCCCTCGTCATCGCCTTTTCCTCATCAAATGTACCAAAAAAAACGTCTCACAGCAACCGTATATTTTTGTAACATCTCCCTCAACCTGAGTAACGAGTTATATGATCAATGCAATATGCATCCATCATCCATGATGAGAGATTAGGTGCACATCCCAACCGTGTATTTTTGTAACATCTCCCTCAACCTGAGTAACAAGTCATATGACCAATGCAATATGCATCCATCATCCATGATAAGAGATTAGGTGGCATCGACGTACAGATGTGATTGTGAGTTGTGACGTCAATACTCGTAAGGTCATGCATCTATGACGATCTAATCTAATGCTCCATAAACGGAGATGGGATCTGCTCCTCACACTTGGGCGTCCTCTGTGAGAGCAGATCCGGTCTCCCACATAAAGAGAGTTTGCTGACCTGGTGAGGGACCTCATGGATGACGAAACTTAACCAATTAACGGATGACACTTGTCCCTCCTAAAGGTCGTTGATTAAATCTGTGGGTCCATTATAAAAGTCTCCTTGCGGTTGGATTGGACCCTCCCTGAGTATAGTAGGGCCGGGCTATTTTCCTTCCGATGATGAATGATGATTGATCACCAACATCCAACATATCTGTTTCAAAGAGACTTTACACACCTCCCTCACCTCCTCTGCGTAAAACCGTAAACATTTTTATGGTTTTTGTTTTAATCGTTTGGTGGGGCCGAAGGCGAACTGGGTCTGGGGAGTCGATATAAAACTAAAAATATAAGAATGTCGACATACTCACGTGTTGAGAACTTAAGATAGCAAATGGAATAAGTAAAGCAACGAACATGCTGGAAAAGGTAGAAAAGGAAAAGCTGTGGGCGTCCTTATCTGAGACCGACAGGCGACATAAAAATACCAGGGGCGGATATAGAATTTTGCATTTCTAACCCCAACCGACCGAATCAAGAAACCAGAACATCGCTCACAAGTCACACCTACCCAGTCTCCACACTAAAAAGTAAAAACTCCAAACCTACCGTCACTATGGTTTGGAAGGAGTCCGAAACTCCAAATACAATTACGTAGAGTTCAAAACCTTGCATTTTGCATTAGTTTGTACATACTCGTATTTGTACTCCTTCCAAACTGAGCCTTACACTCCAGAGGCTCAGCCGGCTGGACCGGGCCCGGGCCCGGGCCTGGACCTTCTCTAATACCACTACCGTCCACTAGGTCCACCACCATGAACATTAGCAGAGGCATAAATAGGATAATAATCCAAACATCTCCTTACTGGAAATTTTATTTTTTCAGGGAAAAAAGAATTATAGTATAGAAAACTAATAACTGCGACTCTTTTTCATCAAAGAACAAATCCTTAAACAACAATTATGTCATAAAAGTAAAGATTAACAGAACAAAATACAGTTAATTTGGGAGATGAACAAAGGTTGATGAAAGTTTGAAATCGTTCCCCTTTCGATTTATCTAATAACAATTCAAAAATTGCAAATCCTAAAGGACCTACGAGCACCGATCAGAAGATCCACCAGAGATCAAAGAAAGAAATTCTCCCAAATTATGTACAAGTTTAACCGAGGGTTTTCAGGGAAGAGTCGTAAAGAAGATCCCGTTTTAGTTCATGGCAGCAGGGGCATCATCGAAGCTCCATAGATCAATGGAGTTCACACCCACGACGGCATCCTGAACGGGATTCGACGTTGCGAAGGGCTGCTGCTCCACACCACCGTCACAAGGAATCTGGTACAGCATGTAGGATTCAAACGCCATTAGCTCCTCCGATAGCTTTTGAACTTCGTCGTCATCAATCAACGTCCCCTTGGTTTCTGGGGTCTCCTCCTTCACCGTCACATGTTCAAAACAGGCATCACCGCCATCCTGACCGCTGCCCATAAAGCTCGGGGACGAATCTGTGCCCTCCGATCTAGACGCAGAAGCACACATGTCCCCTCCATTAGGATGAAAGAAGAGGGGGTTTGGATTCATGGCAGGAGGGACGCAATAGTACCCATTATTGACAGGATATGATTCAACCTGATTCAGATTATTGCCGGGGAACCCAAAATCCAAATTCTTGGGGAGACCACCATAAAAGTTCTGATTCGAAGGTTGGGGATTCCGATTAGAGGGCAATTGGGTATTTGAAGCAGAGTATTCATCATCTTCGTTGGGAAAATTAACCTTGGCCTTTTTTCCTCTGATTTTCCTTGCTTCCCTATCGTAAGCCCTTGCCGCCTCTTCCGCGGTGTTGAAAGTACCCAGCCAAACCCTAACCCCTTTCCTAGGGTCACGAATCTCGGCGGCCCATTTCCCCCATGGGCGCTGTCGGATCCCTCTGTACAGATTCTTTCGCTTTCTCTTGCCGTTGTTTTCACCAGAGCTATCACCTGTTTGAATAAAGATCACAGGTTAAAAAACAATAAACAATAAACACAGTAATAGAGGGAGAGAAAGGCACCTGAAGGAGAAGCGCGTTTCTTGGTGTTCTCTTCCTCGCTGAAGCGACGGAAATCGGATTCGAAATCGTCGTTGAAATTAGCGAAGGGAGAGTTGGGCCAGAGATCAGAAGCTGTGACGCGACGACTTCTGTTGCGAGGGATGAATTCGGCGATGATCGCACCTCCGCACATTTTTAGGAACGGTAGAAGGTAAGTAAAAGAAGAAAGGAAGGTTGATTATGTAGGAGTGGAGATCAGTACGCAGAGAATTGGAGACTGTAGAAGGGATTGGTTCTCTGAGAGAGGAAAGATAGAAGAGAAGGAGAAGAAATTGAAAATGGAAAAGGATTAGAGTGATTTTAGTTTGGTGGTGAAGAATGACTTGAGGCGTAGGGTATGGGGAGGAAGGGGTGCTTTTGTACCCGTTGAGAAAGGCGGAGGTCCAGCAGTACAATGTGTACTGCCCGAACTTTCGTGACGTCTACCCTCATCTTTTTTAATCTTACGTGGCGAGTAAGACTCATCACAAAGCTTCCAGAATGGGCTTGGGACTAATGGGCTGGCTCCCTACTACCTTCACTGGCCCCCGCATCACTCATGACGAGACGAATTCATTTGAAATGACGGAAATGGGATTTTTTGTTTTTTGCAATAGGCATCGACATCGAAGATCGAATCGTGTGTCTTGACCCAGCAGAACTTGACCTAATCCAATCCATAAGCCAGCAAAGGATGTTGCCTGCCTGGCCACCAAAGCCTAACGTGAAAATATCTAAGGTTTGGTGGGTTCCACTTCCATCCAATCAATGCCCAGTCCACTACACGGAGTTTGTGTAGTAAGGTCAAACGCGTAGCATATATTCTCCTGTTGCGGACGCGGTGAGGATCGAAAGGAATTCTTTGCTGTGTTGGGCGCTGAACTGATCTTTTGATAATAATGTATTCGTGGACGAACCACATGTCTAAGTAATTTTGTGCATGCAATATTGCAATGTAACCACTTAACAACTTAGGATATCACGTGCCCAAAAATAAAAACTGGTCGTTGGTTGGGAACCCAGATTATCTACCCACACTAGCCTCCGTGAATTGCATTTTCACATTTCACAATTCAACCTGGCGACGTCAGGCAGCAATTCACGGTGGGTACGAGATCTGGACTGTTTTGGGAGCCTCTAGTAGTCCAGTACAAGATACTTTAACTAATTTAGGTCTTTATTTGTCTTTTCAATTAAAAGATTATTAGCAAGGGCCCTTCTAGAGGAGAAAACATGATGATAAATTCGAAAGAAAAAAATTAAAAATGAAGAAATTAATAAATAAATTATAAGTCTGTAACTAGATGAATAAGCAAGGATAGAAAAAGTAGTATAAGGTGTGATACATAAGCCAGAAAGGAAAAAAATAAAGCAATAGTTCTAAAGTTCAAAAAGATGTTGTAATGTGCTTAACAGTTACAAATGTATTATCATGAAGGTGACAATGCTTCAGTGAAAGCTAATACATTTGTAAGAGTTGAAGCAAAGAGGGAGTTTTTAAAGAATGTTCTTGTCCCGTTTATTTGATGAGCTAGTCTCTCAAATGTACAAGTTCTTGCCAATGCCCGGAAAAGGAAGATTCCATGTAAATTGTGAGCAGTAATGTCAAAGTGTATTTGTTGTCACACTGAATTTTAATATTCTTTCATGGAAGGAAGGTTGTGTTTGTTGGGCAAGTTTGATTATTGTTCATATATGATATATAATGAACAAAATAATTCTATGGTTACAAGAATCGGGCTAAAAATTCTTGGACTGGTGTGATAGTACCTTGAGTTTATTGGGTTGATCTGCATAATCAAGGTTGTACCTGTAGAAGGGCAAGAGGATATTATATTAATATGGAAAAATAACAAAGAAAAAATTGAACAGAGAAGAGTACAAAGGGAATTAAGGGAAAGGGAAACTGACTATGGTAACTATGGTAAAGATGAGCTTGTACTTCGGTTTAAAGGCTTGTTGAATTGCATAGATGAGCTTAGAAGAAAATCTGCATGTGTAAAAATCATTTTGAAGTTAGTTTGTTATTTATGAAAGGGGAGTTGTTGAAGAGTTGATTCCGGTATATAGATTTTCTAATAGTTCCTCCATTTCAGCTAGCAACCTACGACTTTCTGTTGCCTAGTCAACAGTTGATATAAGTACGATAATGGGGTGAAATTGCTTTGAAGGATCAACAGTGATATCCCATACACAAATTTAATGGAGGTGGAAATTGCATTTGGAACTAAACTATAATGAATATAGGAAAAGTGAGCCAAGGATAAGTAAACAAATTAACAAAGATCGGAGTTTAAGTTTATGTCACATATAAAGCAAAAGTGCCAAAAAAACATAGCTAGAAAGAAGGCCACCATGTAAGATGGAGCGAATAGATGAAAGGCCCAAGGAAAAACACACACACACACATAGTGGACCAATAGATTAGAGGCCATCAGACCCCATGGCTAGAGACTCTTGACCTAGAGTCTTGGGGGCCATCAACAGTCTACAACCCAATAGGAATAGTAGCAAGATTGGTTTTGCCTTCAAGATTTGCAACCTTTTGCCTCATATGCCTAATTTCGGCAAGCAACTCGCGGACATGACCCTCAAGGCACTCACATTTGTATGAGCAATACATACAGCCTAGATAGTTCACATCCTCTATTTGTATTGCATAATATTGTTTGAGCCTCCTTATAGCATTTTGGCAAGCAAATTGTTGGGCTTCTGCAATAGTAGGGTTGGGCCCCCCAGTGAAAGTCCATTTCTCATCGTGAATAGTAAGTACAAGGCTGGTGTTATAGCCATGTTCATCATTTTCCACCAAGTACACAGGCTCAGGAATCCCGAGGAATCGAAGCAAACCTCTCAGGACACTTTTAAAACAAATAGGGAAAACAATGTCATCCTAGCAATCCATATCTACAAAAAATGTGTACTAAGATTACATCATAGAAGGAGGCTTATAGCATTGAAGACACACATTTGTTCTATGAAGCTTCATTGTCTCCTATAGCATTGAAAGCACACATTTGCCATAATCCTACCCGCTGACTCACGGTCTAGATTCACATCTCCTATCTTGATCCTAGATATTCATATCTTGCACTGCGTAGCAAATACAGATAGAATTATTCATTGAAGTCAAGACAGGCTCATTGGGGTAGATGAGTAGGTCCATTCAAGAGCAATAGAGATCCTAGAGGACAAAACCACAAGGCAGGGCACCACTCAGGAACCATCTTGGTATCTGTTGACTAGTAGTCTAGTACATTAGCTTGATAAAGGCATTAGATAACATGAAAGTGGTTCAAGAAAGAGACATGAGTATCTCATCAAAAGCATGTATACAAAAAATTAACAGATTAATCCTGCTTCAAGGAAAACATGAAAGTGGTTCAAGAACTCCAGAAGGGATGAATAAAGCATGAAGGGTTTTAAAGTATGAGCACGAAGGGATGAATAAAGAACTCTATAAGGTTAGGTTACAACCGTTTTTACCATAGTCAATTTCTCTTTTGGAAAGCCCTAATAATACAATCGTTTTATGTTTTCTTCTCAAGTAGCTTAACTAGATCTTCAGAATTAGGCTTAGGCCTGCTAAGTCTCTAAAGAAGTTGCACCAAATGATAGGGATCAAGCAAGATTTCAATGTATATAAAAGACACAATAAGAAGTAAAATAGCAATTCAAAATCCCTAACTTGGTAGTGTAATGATGAATATCAGTATCAATGATATAAAAGTAATTAGTGATAAAAAAAAGACTCGCCAAAAAAATAGTGATAAAAAAATATGAAAACTCTGATTACAACAATGGCACATTAAGAAAGAAAACAAGAGAAATAATACTAAAGAATAACCTAACCTCTTTGGGGATAGAAAGAAGACCTTGGAGTTAATGGTTAGAAGCTGAAAACAAGAAGAAAAACAGTGAGAAGAAGATAAAGAATCAATTACCTGGTGGATGCAACGAATTAAAGTAGAAGGATGATGCAAAATAAGAGAATGCTAGGCAGAAGACACCCAAAGATATATAGCATGAGGTGGGGTGGGGCCTCCATGTCATGAGTGTAAAACACAGCCGCTCAAGAAATTTGAAGTTCTGTCACTCTTGTAGTTGGGAGTTGGCGGGTTGGGTGAGGAGTTGATGCATCCGCCTCCATCTGCAAATGAAAAGCTTCGCGCCTTCGCCTTTAGACTCCACTGGAAAGAAGTCCACTAAGAGAATTTTGATTTGATAAGGCAAAGTACAACCAGATCGGAATCCCGAGTTAGAGAGATTGATGATGTGCAGTGCTAGTGCAGAGATAGAACGATGATGGTGCAAAGTAAGGCAGAGTCACCTTCTTCCCATTTGGAAGATCGGAATCCCGAGTGATGTGCATAACGATGATGTTCTTTGTAGTAACAACCGCCTTCTTTCCATGTTGATCGAAAAGAAATAGTTGTCTGTCTTCAGCCGAGTCTGAGACGATGATGTTAAAAACCGTCATTGAGAAGATGTGAATGGATTGTGCTTTGAAGACACATTAAATGTTCTTAGAAGGCTCTGCCATTAAAAACGTCTTTAATACCACTTTTCTTTAACCACCATTAAAAACCACCATCCTATCTTCAGCTGAGTAGCCACTTTTCTAAGCAAATTAAATGCGCTTCTTTAACCGCTGCTTGAGTAGCCGAGTCTCAGAAGGCACATTAATAGCGATTCTTCAGCCGAGTAGCCACTTTTCTGAGCACATTAAATGCGCTTCTTTAACTGCTGTTTGAGTAGTCGAGTCTCAGAAGGCACACTAAATGAGCTTCTTTAACCGTTGCCAATCCATTGCTGCTTGAGTATAGGATTCAAATCCATTATGCACCAATCCATCACCAACCGGGTCCGACACAAGGGGACATTAAATGTGCTCAGAAAGCACATGATTCTTTAATACCAACACCGATCCATGCAAGCACAGGATTCGAATCACCAATCCATTAACACGTGTCACAGAAACAACGCAGAAAACTTAATACACAGAAACAATACACCCATACATCTGTGAGTTCCGCACGTTTAGATGCTTCTTACTAGCACCACAAGCAGCCACATCTGCTTCCCTTATATATATATATATATGATGTGTAAATATTATTTTACCCAATGAGATGTCATTCACAGTAGGTTCCAAAATAGCGAAGGCTGTATTTTACAAATAGCCAAAAGTTTTTTCATACAATGTGGATAAAGAGTAAACGGCAAAAAAAAATGGTTTGGTTGGTTTATAGGTTCGATCATCCTATTCAATCTGAATTTGGCAAAATTTGTTTGAATATTTTTTTATTGGATAGGCATTAAATTTTTGTAATTATCTCTGCAGAACTTTTTTACATAGTTGCAAGTGGA